CCACAACCTGCACAAATGAGTGCACATTTTCTTCTCCCATTACTCAACCACTGAGTGATCTGTTCTCCATATGGACCTAATAAACTGAGCTGCACTTAAAATAAACCACTTCTTTGTCTCTGGCATCACCATCAGCGATTTCTTATCACGTTTTTGTCTCAGCTAATGTATCTGCTCGCTCATTTACAGATGCATTTATATGCAGAGGGCACCAAAAACACATATGTATGCAAAATGTGTATTCATTCACCATCAAACAAGCCAGGGGTTAAGGGCACACAAAGGGATCGGAGAGTAATGCTTTCCGACACCCATGTCGGGATTTTATCTGCTTGACTCAGAACAAAAAGAAAGATTTAGGAAACATCTGTGAGCAATGCCCATTACAGCCAATGACACCAGATTAAAACAAAAGACGGCTTCTTAAACGCGGTAACCTGTTCCCTCCAGCGGCTCAACAGCCTTCATGGATGAATCACCTGGTTGAGTCGGGTCCGCTGAGACAAAAGCAGAGCAAAACTACACTCTCACTTCCTCGGCTCCTCCGAGTAAATATTTAACAATAGCTAAAGAGCAGCCGCGCAACTGCTATTTTAATCCTCATGCGCTCCTGTGACAGATGATGTTTTTTTAAGCTGAATTTATAAATAGACATACTTCTGTTATGAACTCCTACAGTTTGATTCAAAGTCAGCACAACTCCATTTGCATCTTTTAACAATCCAGTCGAGAGTTAATGCGTTTATCAGCAACGTAGTAAGAGAATATCGTTTGACGTGGGGATAAACACATTTCCGACTTGCTCTCTCTTAGATCCCTGTTTCCAGCATCTCAGAGCCCTGCCCACTGTGTTCTCCACAGAACTGTGTCAACCAACCACAGCACTGACACAGATGGCAAATGGACTAGGACACCCACATGCAAACCAGCTCCCAGGCCAGCGTCTAGGATTAGACCACCATAATAACTATGCAACACAAACTCTAACCACTCCCTTACTTTAACTGCGCATGCTGAGGACACCGCTGATTTATTTAAGAGGTTGTATTTCAGCTCAGCTTAAATTTAGAAAGCCCGGTCCGATGAGCTTCTATGAGGAAACTGCACATTATATATATATATATTTTTTCCCCTCCTTCTCTAAATGAGGGACAAGTGTGGCTTCAAATCATTCACAGATGTGCTGGTGCTCTGCCACGCAAGAGGAGAAGAGGCAGGAGCCCCTCCCACACCGTAGGCAGGCAGTGGAGATGGGAGGAAGCAAGGGAGCCGGAGCTCCATCTCCAAGTGCCTCTCATGGTGAGCCGCACACACTGCCTCAGTAATAGCCGGGAGCCGAACCCAGCCATGCGTCTCTAAGCATTCTCCACCATGTGAAACAACATAATCTGACACTCCTGACCCCTGTTGTTCCCTGGGCCTTGCAAGACACATCTTATGTAACCTATAGAGCAGTGGGGGAAAAGAGAGAGAGGGGGGAAAAAAAGCTAAGCTGCAGCAGTTTTATGTGGTTTGCAATCAACTTTGTGCGTATTTCCACATTACGGGGCATCCGCTGACCTCTGCTGCCTCGATGCAAACGTGCAAACCCGCTGTAGCTTAAGCGTGCAGTTATAATGAAAGCAGGACAGCAGAGCGCCGTGCGCCTCTCTTTGTATTCGGCGTTGAAAATATATCAATGACAGCGAGAACAGCTGAGATATTCTGAGTGTGTCATTGAGACAAAGTGAGAGCTTGTGTTAAACTTGCACAATTTTGGTTTCGACACAGAGAGGGGGGGAGAGAAGAGGAGAGTGAGTTCATCCGAAACAGCCCTGCCACTACCGTCAGCAGCTTACTAATAATGCACACACATAAGCAAAAACACACTTGATGATAATTTTGTGCACTTTCATGGTGTATCACTTGAATTCACTTAAGAAGGATGAGAGGTGAAACATCTTGGAGAAACTCAGGTAAGCCCAGTTGCCTCCTAGAAATACTGTGACTCAAAAACTCACCTGCTCGTAGTTTAGCCGCTGAGCCTCTGATATCTCTTTGGGTTTGGTTTCCAGAATGTAGTCACCTGCAGAGGGACAGACAGAAACAGAGACGTTGTCAGATGTGTTGACTCGTATCGTACTAACAGAGCAAACCTTTATTGGCGCTAACTGACTCTTTTAGTTAAGCGTTTGTATAGAATGTGACAGATGCTTTGAGCTGTCTCTAAAGCTCATTGGTAGGGTTTGCACTAGCCAGCTGTTTCCCTGCGCCAGATATGTAGGATCAGTCGAGTCCCGGTCCACCGTGCTGTCACCTGAGAGCTCTGTCGACTCGACTCTGCAGCAGCATGAGCTGTAGCAGAGGGCACAGCCTGGCAGATGTCTGGCTCCTGCTGATTCGGCCTGATCAGCACTACAAACATGCTCCTTTCTTATCATTAACGCAGCAAACCGCAGCGCAAAAAAACCCCAATCCAGACTTTATACTACGTCAGGTGTTGGGTGGATATTTTTCCAAAGGCCAGCCGCAGCCCACCACGACATCTCCCACAAAAGCCACACATCTGCTTTAGTTGGCGTTTGTTTGCCTTTCTGGTGGATAGTGATGGTACTTTGTACTTTTTTTTTTAACATTTCAAGCGCTTCTCACACTTTGAAGGGAAAGAAAAGCCGTGCAAATAGCATTCCTGCTGTTGCTGTGAAAGTTTTATGGCCGTCTACTCCGAACTTTTAAAACCCTTGTGTAAGTATTTTTCAAAATGTTTCACAGAGAATCATTAATTTATTAGGAACTGGCGAGCGCATCATGCTGCACTGTCAACACATAGTTTTCCTGGGAGCGGAATGCCGTCGACCTCTTGTCATCAACCTCCACATTAAGTAGAAACAGCTACGCATGGAGGAAAAAATAAGAAAAAAAACGCTTTCATATGTATATTGCTCAAGCAAACAGAATGAGTGGAGCACATCCAGGGGAAAGCCTTCAAAGCTTTCAATCTCGTGATTAGTGCTTTATAATAGTAACCGAGAGAGTCAAAGTGGTTTCTTCATCTTCACACTGATCTGATCCTAAACTTGGCCATCTAAGCAGAAAATTAGTAAATGCTACCAGGGGCTAGTTAAGGCCTGTTTTCTTTTCTCTTTACTAGAACTCTGTATTTTGTGCTTAACGAGCTGAACAACGTGCAAACTGATGCATCAGTCCGGCTCATGAACGCTGGACCTGTGCTCTGCAATTACGACACAGCAAGTTGAATTTCACAAGATGTTTGATCAGATGTTTGGACTGACCAGAGGACTAACTGCTGAGTGCAGTATAAACCCCTCCTCTGACTTGATTTCAGAGCTGTCACCCCAGATAAAGACTTCAGTGCAAGTCAAGATTTTTTCCAGCAGGGGGCCAGCCAGCTGAGTGCTTTTACTACAGTGTGTCCACAACAGGGAAAACCCCTGACTGCTCTCTACTACCAGTGAGCTGTTGACTCACCCACCTCTGGTCCTCACTTAATATCTGTATCCGACTGTCTCCATGCTCGCGTATCACTGGCATGCTACACTACACACTGCTGAGCTGCTGAGTGACGACCACCACCCACTCTGAACAACACTTGTGAGCTTCACCACCCTTAGAGTGTGTTATGACAATACCAAAAAAGAAAGGGTCAAGCTGATGTTAGAAGTTATCCACAAGCCCCTGAACGCAACACAAGATTAATGCTATGTGCACTCACATTTTACGCACATTTTGATAACGCTGCATAATTCATAAAGATGAGCCATGTTCGACGACGCACGCAGTAAAAAAATCTGTCTCGAAATCAAACATACAGTGCTGCGATGTGGATTATTTTAGTCTACATGCATCAGAAGGCACTGACAGGGGTAAGAGGAGACACTGGTGAGAACTGGCGGCTCTACCTCTGAAAGAAAACCTGCTAATCAGACAATATACTGTGATACTGAGGAGTAATTTCAGCTATGAAGGCCGAGGCATGGCCAGAGCGAGGAGATAGCTCCTGTTTCCTTTGCAGCAGCAGAAGACTGGCTCGTGGGGGATTCCCCTGTTCTGGTCTCTTCCTCTGTTGACTCTGGATTATATATATAACTGACCTTTAAGTATGTAGCTGCTTATTAGTGAGAACATGAAACACAAGAATGTTTACTGGGATGTCGAAACTCAGCGGCAGGGGCTCTGAGGGCGACTATGTGGACTTGTGGGCAACACTTGGAAGTGCAGGTTGGCGTGACTCTGTAAAAACAGCCCAGCATACTACTTATTTTTACTTTATTGCACATGTGGGGAAAAAAATAAAACGCCAAGCAAGAAGATATCTAGACCCAGTGTGGTGACACGGCTCAACGTGAGAAATATTTTGGTTTTCGTCTTCCAGCGAAAGTCACAAACACTCACCAAGATACTCCATCAGCTGCTCGGCGGTTATAATTTCCATCATAGGTGGCATCTTAACCTGGAGCGAAGACAAAAGCACAAGTCATTCATTTGTCGTACAAAACGGTGCAACAGGAGCAACAGCACACATCACTGCTGGGATGAACCATACATTTGTCTTGCCAGGATTCAGCGTGTGTGGACATGTTGGAATAAAACCTTATTGATTGCTAAAATTGAGACTGAACATGTCTAGACAGAAATTCATTTAAAAGGGGAAGAGCTGAGGAGTGAGATGTAGATGGTTGTGATATTACCTATTGGGCAATCTACAGCAACATTTCCATCACACTGCTGACAGAGATGCTTTATGAAATGTGCCTATTTGCATCAGAGTCAAGTTTCTATTGACCTACGCTCATCTCTGAGCCTTTACCTTCCATGCAAGCAGAAGGACATTCATAATAGCCAGTAATGGACAGGGGCCGTTCTCGTTCTGGGTGATGATCGGCGTGTTCTCCTCCCTCCATTTGATCCACTTAATGTGGTAGATGGACTGGCCGGCGGCCCGGTCCTTAGCACACGAAGTCTTTGTCCCATCAGCCCCGTACTCGCTCTGGAGGGCCAAAGCCAGTCCTCTTTCCTCCAGCCCCTCGCTGTTCAGGTCGGAGCTGGGGCAAGAGTTGAGGTTGGAGAAGGACTCGAGCGAATCTATGCTTCGGGACTCTCCGCCGAGGCTGGGATCGGGGTCGCTCCCACTCGGCAATCCCTCCGATAAGGTGTGATCGCCGGACAGCACCGACTTGACGTTTGCTGTGATTGCATTGTCCGGACACAGATGAGTCGGTTTGGCAAGTTTTGTCGGTTCACTTTCTCCGCAAGCCGAAACCTCAGCCTGCGCATCTGTGCTCTGTGTAGCGGGAGGTGAGGGCGGCTCGTCGGGTTTGTTGTTTACTAACTTTGAGGCACCACCCTGGCTGTCTCCTGCAGCCAGCACCGAGTCATGCCCCATCCCGTTACTGATCTGATCCCCGGACCCCGACAGCGAGCCGCTCGCCTCGGCGTCCTTCTTCTTCTTCTCCTCCTGCACGGGGAGGACTTCAATCACTTCTGGCACGTCCGACTTCCCGGCATTGGAGATGGCATTGACGGCGCTGGGAGCAGTAACGCTCGCGGTGCTGATATTACAACTAACGTTAACCAAAGTACTGAGAGGAGCCTCACTATTCTTGCATTTGTCGGCTGTCCCTTTCACTCCGCCGACAGCCGTAACGTCGCCCATTTCTCCCGCAATCGTGGCACACAAAGAGCTCCCGTCAGTGTCTCGATGTAGGTTTGCATTTTTCTCCATTTCGACTTACAGGCTGTCGACAGATTTTAGCTAAATTGCAGCAGTAGCTTCGGTCCCAAAGACGCCATGACAACTCTGCGAGTGACGTCATCAGAGTGAATTGCTTTCAGGCCGAGCAGGGGGCGGCAGAAACCAACGGCCGGGCGGTGCGTTCAAGTCGGCTCGGATTCTGCGCGCTCCTGAGCTTATCCCTCCGATTAAAGCAGCGTAACCCCGTGCGAGATATTATTTAAATGTCGTTACATAATTTAAAAACCGGGATAGCTAGATTACATATCAGCCCTTAAATGTAGATTATATTAACCGGTCCATCAAAACTAAATGAAATCTCTAATATTCCCCATCTTTAAACCGACGTATTTTCCACGCTCACACACGAGATTAAAGCGAGTACTTAAAGTTTATTAATAAAACGTTTGAAGGTATTTTTAATCCGCTCAAGCATCTGTTACGTGCAAAGCTGGCTGCGTCCCCAAAGCGTTTAAATGTTGAAGTGTCCTCTTTTTTTTATTTTTTTTTACGAGGACTCTTGAATGTAGCGTGACAAGACCCTGCCGTGGCCGTGGCCGTCTTGCGTACCGGTGCACGCGCATTTGTGAGGCCATCATCGCCGTCATTGGCTGCGAGTTTGAAACATTCACGGTTTAAAAACAAAAATTAGACTGAAAAAAAATTATGAATGCAGCGTGTAATATTTTATTAAATCACATCTATTCTTTTTAACACAGAGGAAGAAGTGTTTGGGCATCTTAACAACAGAATGAACCCCATAAAGCAAATCAAGCACTGTATTGGAAATGGAAATGCACAGATCACAAGTAAACCCACAGACCAGACAAACTAGTCCCATATTTCCAACACACGTTATTGTTGTTGCTGCTGCTTGGGACTAGGCCAAGTCTGTGAACATTTCTAGGACTGGATCAGGTTGTCATCCCTTCACAGCGTCATGTAGAAGACTGTCTGTAGCACCATGCTGTCTGCAACAAATTCTTAAATGAGAAATGAGGAAGCTGTGGACGTGGAAGTGTCTGGCTAATGCTGACAGGTCAGCATCCAACATGCCAGCAGCCCTTTCTCTTGTCATCTGTGGCATCATGACGTTTGCATAAAGCTGCATTTCAAGGTTGCCTTTTATAGCCACTGGAGTGTCTGTGTCCTGGTCAAACTATCTGATCACTGTCAAGTCACACCTGATCAGGATGTGGAGCCTTAGTCAACGATTGGCTTAAAAACATTTTAAGCACATTTGGTTAACAAAACTATTCTCTAACCAGAAAAGTCCAAATTCAACTTAAGTCAGATAAGAAGAACATTTGTATGATGCATTTATATTTTTGTTCAATGTAAATGTTTTTTTAGATTCTCTAGTTGGGTGTAAAATAATGTATTATTTTTACGTGTGTAGTTAATAGTTTTAACTGCTAGTGTCTTTCAGCAATTTCCCCGAGGTTTCCACCACGGGATCAATAAAGTTCTATTCTATTCTATTCTATTCTATTCTATTCTATTCTATTCTATTCTATTCTATTCTATTCTATTTCCCCCTTTGTAAAATTTAAGTACACTGTTAGAAAACAAACAAACAAACAAACAAACATTGTCAAAATCTATCAGCAAGGGTGGCAGAAAAAATATGCTTTAAAAAATGGTGGATACTGTAGGATAGTGTAATGTTCAGAAAGTGTTTAAAAAAATGTAAAAAAAAACCCCCCAAACAAACAAAAAAAAGCATATATCTGTAAAAGATTGATGTTTTTAGATTAAAATCAGTAAACCCACAATTTTAGAGAGTGCAATTTTACAGTTGAATGTTGTAAAAGAACAAATTACCTTTTCTAAAAATACAGATGTTTTGATGTGGACTTTATATAAAGTTTTGCCCAGATGTTTTTTGCTTTGTTTTTTTTCCTGGACATTTAAATTCTGACTTTTTTCTGTGATTTTTGTAGACATTACCCCCTCCTCCAAGAAATGATTAAATTAAAATTAAATATTTAAAAAATGTATGCATTATATTATACATTACACTTGCTCAGACTTAAAAGAGGAGATCCAGGCGGAGAAGCCGTGTAGCTACTAGTTATTTGACAGGTCGGATCAGTCCACATGCAGGAGCGCTGCAGGTCACTGGGTGGCAGCAAATACTCGACCAAGCACAGACCGAGAATCATTTGAGTCTTTACAGGCTACATCTGTCTATGAGAAGTCTGGGACAGTAACATAATGACAGCACAGTTAAAGTGCTGCTAAGGTGAAAGGTGCAGCATGTTTTTCTATTTCATTTAATTTAATTTTTAGAGTACGACTCTCGGTGTCACTCAAGATTTATGATTTTGACTCCTGAAGTATGCAGTGTCATATAAAGGGCCCTTTTGAGCTAAAATGTCCTTTTTTTCTCTCTTTTTTTGTTACTGTGATGTTTGACATTATTATTTTGAACTTTCAATGAGCGTTTGATTTAAAACGACAATTTTAAAATACAGAATTTCCTTCACGGTGGATCTGTCTTCAGCCCAGCAGAGCATCTGTGTTCACCGGACCTGTTGTGTGGGTGCAGAAAGACCGACACAACGGTACCAAGTGGCTTAGAGGACCATAACCACATCATTTACAAGATTTACCAGTGTCCAACCACAAACCTAACTTCAGCCACTGGTAACAGCATGGCAGCAGTCAGTAAAGTAAACTGTGGCTTTTACAAGTGGGATCTAGATTATTATTTTTTCCCCATATTTTTTTTTCTCTTTCTGCCTGCTTAGCACAAACAAACAACAGAGACATCCATCACCGTTTTGTTTTGTTCTGTTCAAAGAATTATGTTTTGAGTGAGGTAGGAACACCTAACATAACCCTGTGGTTTACAGAGGAAACAGAATCCGGAAATTAATCTTTTTCAACACACTCTGCTGTCTCCTCAGTGCCCTACGCCACTGATTCTCCTGTTTGCCTGTTTGCTAGTTGCTCACATGCATTCACTGTGTATTGTTTACATATTTTTTTCCCCTATAGTTTATTGTAACACAACATTTTAATCGGTATAATAACATATCAATTAAAGTTATGAAGACAGTGTTTACAGACAGACCTGCTGTTCCTTATTTAACATTGAGAACTTACAGCCATTCAAGTTGTTTTTGACCAGAGTCAGTACAAAAGACAAACTGTGAGGCGGCTCCCGGTTACAGTGAGATAAATGGTGAGTCTGTAGGCGTGAGGACTGAATTCATCACAAACATTTGTTATGGTTAGAACTGCTTTGATTATTGTGAAAAGAAACAGCCATAATTTAACATACATTAAGTTTCCACCATGTCTGCGTTCTCAAACTACAGAACAAACAAGGGGGAGTTTGAACCATTTAAGAGCACATCCTGGGCTTATTCTTATAAACTTAATTTAATGAGCTGAGTGAACTTTCAGCTGTCGTTCATTCATTCATTTTAAATCAAATGCCTGGAGTCAGAAGAAGTCACATTTCTGAGCTCTTAGGTGGTCTGAAAATAAAATGATTAGACATGTAGAAATGAGCACAACTCTAGTATTTGTATTAAGTAAACTAGAAAAACACAAGATGATTTAACTAAAATACATTATGATGTTTTGCAGCACCTCATTAATAACACTGCAAAGTTTCAACCTTGTTTTTTTTTAATGAATCACATTAATATCCATAACTTATATCATTATTGTCAGTTAAAGCTGTAATTTGTATATTTTGTGCAGGTTTTTAATTACTCAGGTAAATTCACGCCATATAAAAACACTTGTATGGTCTTAACCCCACTACAAAAAAATCCAATTTTATTTTCCTACTAAAAAAAAACCCTGGACTTGAAGGCTGTTGCCCTACATGTGCCACATAAACAACCTGACTTTCCATATTAAACCTCACTATTATAACTATTATAACATAAAATCTGCTGAACCGGGAAGTCATGAATTGCGGAAGTAAACAACTTGCGCGCAGCAAAGCACAGCCAGTCAACCGCAGCTCGGTGCCTGTTTCTCGGACTCGTTTACAGTGTTTTGTTGTACCGCTGAATGCTAGTTGAGGTGATTTGTAGCTTGTTTTCTCGCTCTCTCGACCTATGACCACTACAGTAGGGATGGGTGTGTCCCGACCTCTCTTGGCAATACGCGCCGGAAGGGAGGAGGACCTGTCTGTCTGACTGTCTGTCTGCCGCTCCCTCGCTCGGTCGGTCGGTCGGTGTGTCTGTCTGTGTGTCTGCCGTCGCGGTGCCACAGACGGGCAGAGCCGGCGTTTGCGATGGGAGCTAGCTAACTAGGAAGGGCGACTACAGCTTTAAGTGAAAGAAAACGAAACAAGAAGCAGTCAGCGGTGCCGCTGGGTCGCTCAGCTAGTTTAGTGGGATTACAGGGGATTTCGATATGATATTTGTCAAACTAATTCTCATGTTTTGCTGCCTACAAGACATCACAGGTAAGTTTGCCATTGACTTTAACGGGGGGAAGGAAAGTGTTCCGTGATCGTCATTGGAGCTAGCGCTAATCGGATCATGCAGTTGTACTCGGGCTATCTAACTTGCTAGCTAGCTGGCTAATGTTAATGTTTGTTACTGCTGTCCTGTGTTTACTCGGTACGGTGCGCACCCAGGCCAGGTCTAGCCAGCCCGTGTTGGCCGAGTATCAGCTTCATTAATTTGGGGTTTTGGGTGATACAGGTTAAGTAGATAAACGGCTCGTGTCTTTGACAGCTCCTCAGAGGAAAACTAACGATTCCGCGCTAACGTCTACAAACAAGACATTTGAATGGCGAAGCTTGAACGGGTCCCAAGTACTGGAGGGGGGTTATTCAGTTTACTGGGATGATTTCAAACTAGTTTAACACTAAGTTTAGCCCCGCTGGTGATGTAAAGTTATGTAGATATGTGATACTGCTCGGCTCCGTTTGACAGCTATTACGTCTGCCAGTGACAGAGCAGGCAAACTGCTCCATTACTGACCTGTGATGACCCCGACTGGGAGCCTTTGTGCTCGTTGTTTACAACAGCAAAAAAAGGAAAAAAAAAAAAAGATCCACCATGTTGTGAAGCTTCACATTTTCCTGTTGTCACCAGGATGTGGACGTTAGTTGTACCAGAAGTTGTGATCTTCATTTCAGGGCAGTAGATGGGTGTTTGTTTCAGTCTGGTGCTTTTCTAGGGTATTCCCAACAGTGTTTAAGTGGTACCACCTTCACTTGGCTGTAATCTCTGTTCACTTTTAATCAGAGTTTCCAGGAGTCACTGAGTCATCTTTGTAGAAACTAGAGGAACCTGGAGTGTTGTGTAATTGACAAAAAAACAAATCCAAAATGAGTCAAGTTAAAGATAGCGTCTCTCCACACGGATGATTAAAATAAAGCGCTGGCTGAGTGTTTTTCAGCTTCCAGATTATTACAGTAATACGACCCAAAGTGCTTCACAAAACATCAAAACAGACGCATTAGAAATAGCCTAAGCTCCTGGTTTAAACTGTGTGTAGAAATGGATATCGGCAAATAAACAACCTGAACGTGATTATATGTGGCTACAGGATGTGTGTGTGTTTTTTTTTGTCCTCTTATAAACTCTGCAAACACAGATTTCATAACGGATGTTGTCCTGCTTCAGCACCCAACAGCATCAGTCCCCTGAAGGTTCAGGTTGAGCGGTCACAGCACGACAAACTGGGACAGGAAAACCAACTAGAGTTTAGTTTGTGCTTCCACTTTGTTGTCATGTGTCTTTAAACTGCGAGCTTGCAGTGTTGCCGATACGTTGTTGGTCAAGCTTCACTTCACGTCAAACGCTGGTGAATTGCTTCATCAGTTTTTTCATAAAACGGTTTTAAGATATCGGTGTTGCATGTTGACTTTATCCTGAGGGTGAATGCTGTTACGATATTTCCAACATTTGCTCAAACTTGTACATGTTGTGGAATGGAGCACTCCTATTGTAGGATGTCCACCCATTAGTCACTTCATCCACCAGCATTGTGTTTGAGTGACTTAAAACTGTACAAGCCAAGGCTGAGGCAGATTGTACCAACGTTACGCGCGACAGAAAGTAATTATTAACCTTTACCTGCTTTTAAATGACCGCTTTCAATTACAAATTGACAGAAGACATCCTGATATACACCTAGATCGCTACAAACGCTTGACTAAACTACACACTGGCCTACACTGGTTTCTGTTCAGTATAACTGGCACGTTGGAAGCCCTCTGTGGTTATATTTGGATTGTGAGTGTTGAGTAGAAAGGATCAAGAAGGCTTTTCGGTAATGATGACATGACACACAATACAATCAGTTTTTCCTCGGCTCAGACATTTCTGAGGAAGTCAGTGTTTCAGATAAAGTGGGTTATCTCACTTTTGACACAGCTGCCGTTACTTGGCCGGCTTACAGTGATGGCTCGCTGCGGAGAATTTCTTATTTATTTTTTTTCCCCTCCTGAGTAATGTAGCATAGGATTTCGTTATAGCCAATATTTATCAGACTTGATGCTTGCAGGTTTCAGCCAACCCTTTTACTGCTATTGTTTCTTGTGCTGTGCGGTACACAATGTTGAGGAGAGACATGGAAGCTGCCCTAAAGCTGCAGGAAGCCTGATGTGTTGCGCTAGCCTGGCAGCCATCGCCCAGCATGCTCGGTAATGCGAGGCTCGGATCAGTTGAGATCCTCGCTGTTACCGCCTCCTCGGTTGTTGTCAGCAGTTTCCTCTCTGTCAAGAATTGCACTTCACCGGGGCACTTGAGGCTGAAACCGATTGCGCTGAAATCCTGATGATGTGGCCATTACACGGAAACTGACTGCCAGTTTTTTCTCAGCCTTTGCTGCTGTCTGACCAGAAATTTCATCTATTCCTTACTGAGGTGATCTGTTTAGCTCCAGATAAAGTAAGATGCTGCTGACAGGTCGTGAATCAGTGTATTTTTTAATACTGCAAAAGGAAGGAATGCCTAAGAAAGAGGAGTGAATGTAAAAAAAAAGTAGTTCAGAAGACTTTGTGAATACTTTTAATGAAAAACAATTAATTTGAGTGGGTCACATTAAGCGGCACGTAGCTGAACGTTTTCTTGCCTCACCCTCCCTTTTTAAGCATGTAGGAGAAAATATACAGTGGCTGTGAAAAACATGAAAGGCCCTCTCTGGAGCCAGTGTTTGACTTTTCTCTTTTGGGCTACGGTAGAAACACGGTGGTGTAAAATAGCCAGCTTCATGGAAGAGGACCCACTCCCTCTGTGGTTAGAAAGGCCTCATTCCAAGTGAACAAAAACACAGGTGATGATGCACTAATGCAACCTAGACAGAGACAAATCCCTGTCAATCCTGCACACAGGAGCTTTATACAGAATTTCACTTTAAATTAAAATGAAATGCACTATATCTAAACACATGGTAAAATTACATAGTTTTAAATTTCAATTAAAATATAGCTATTTAGTATTTTCATAAATCCATTTAGGTGAGTTTGAGAATTGCAATTCATGACATAAATGAATTACATGAATATAAAACTCTCACAAGGTCCATATGGAATGAAACATTTTCTAACACAGTATGTGTAATTCCAGCTTTTTTATACGATGTGTGAGAGTGTAAGCGACACTTTTCAATTTGTTTGTGTAGCTTGTAATTGAGTTTTCTATTTTTAACAGCAGTTCAGTCCTGATAATGGAATACAAGTTCAAATTCTGATGAAAAATAATAAACACTGAGTAGCTATGATGTCAGGTTAGGGGCTGCGGCGGCCTCCACTCAGAGTGAATGCAGTGTTTCAGTCTGGTTGGAATGTGGACACACCAGTAAAAAAAAATCCTTCCTTTATACTTTTTGGGCGTTTTTGCTTCTTTATTTGAATGCAAAGTAAAAACAAGAGAGATGGGGATGACATACAACAAAGGTACCAAGTGGTTTGGTTCTAATGCTGATGGTTTCTCAAGTTTAAAGTGGTTAGTCTTGCTATTTATCCTCTTAGTAAATTATATTTTGTTATTATCCAATGTTAGCATCTGTATTAAAAGATTGTTCGGTCAACTTGGTAGCGGCGGGGTTCATTTCTTTGGGGTAATTCTAAAAGAGACGCGTTTGTTTGTCCGTTTAAACACAACTGTTGAGCAGCTGTGCGACTTTATGAGAATGTTTGCGTGGTATCCTAAATATGGTCATGTTCAGGGTGTTATCTTTACAGAGTGACCTGCTTACTCAGAGGCATGTGTAGACAAACAATACTCATTTTATTCCTGCATAGCCACGAGCCCTGATAGTGATCAGGCAGCTAGTGTGCATGCAAAACTTCTCTATTTGAGAACAAGTTCCATATTTTTTTACATGGTATGTAGATTTTTGTGATCTAATGTGAGTGAGATTGTTGTAGCATCCTGGAGAAGTCAAACTTACTGCAATGTTGTAATACAAGCAGCTATCTGTTGACAAACCAGCTCTGAGCTGTCACATTTCTACATATTAATGGAGCTGTCACATCCTCCAGAGAAAGCAGATCTGGCCAATCTGAGCTGGCAGTGTTTGTTTTTGTACGAAACCAACGTATTCCCCGATTAATTAAAGCCTTGCTCCCTCACCCCAAAGCCTATCTTTAGGCTGCTTGTTTCTCTTCTCTCGTTTGCTGTCATTATTTTCATCGTGGCAGAAGGGCAAAATAAGCTGGTTGCTGGAATATTCTCTGAGTGCATTCATGGACAAGTTGCTGCTAGCCTTGTACAGCCTCTCCCTGTTTGGGGAGTTGTGACTCCCACCACATGAAGTGCTACAGTGATGAACACAACAGCGTACTGTAAGAGCACAGGCAAGGTGGAGCTCCTACTTTATTCTCTTTTGCCTGTGGGAGTCTTTTGGTAACCAGTGAAGGTCCTCCATTACAAAAGCTCATCGCTCAGTGCCTGCCCCGACTCTGTAAATGGAGCCTTTGCTAATTAATTCATTTTCAATTTCTTTTTGAGATTTTTTTTTCTCGCTCAGAGGAGTTTTTTCCTTTTACAACCCAAAAACTTCAGAGAGATAGATAGTTAGTCGCATTCATTGTTCCCTTGGAATGTAGATTAGCATTTAAAAAGCCTGCAATTAATTCAGCCTCTCAGCTCGCACAATGATATACAGTACCGCCGAAACACAACCTCAGTCACCTGATGTGCATCATGTGCTTCTCACTTGTGCGTTAAACTGAGCACTTTCTTTGTCTTTGTGAAAACAACAAAGAAAATGGTTAGAGTGAAAGCCGGCGGGATTACCTCTGTGGGGGCATGGCGGTAAGCTGAATAAGCCTGTTAAGCATGTCCAGTGAGTGACATCTTGTACTATAGCTGGCAACTATTGTAGAGATTCATCCCTGTTTTCCCAGCATGAATCCATAGGCCTGTTTCATTAAGACATTTTGACATGTCACGATAGGAAAAGCAGTGGTGAAAAACAATGTACTGATTTAGCTTCGGGGTCCTGCTAATGTGCAAACTGGCTCAATGTCACAAGGTCACGACTTTCACGGAATCACGGTAAATTGTCAGAGTGTGGCCTGTGCAGCTGATGTTTGTTGGCCTGTATTAATGAGCCGTTTAACTCTCTTTCAGGTCAGTTTGGGAACCGTTTGAACAAATATATTCGCCATTATGAAGGTTTATCGTATGACACAGAGGCCCTGCACAACCGTCACCAGAGAGCCAAGAGGGCGCTGTCCACGGAGGACAGGACCGTGCAGCTGGACTTCCACGCTCACGGAAGGTCAGTTTACATGCAAACACACACACACACACACACACACACACACACTCCTCCTCACTTACTCACTGTCTCTTCCTGTCTGCCAACCTTTCATCTTCCATACATTCTTGTTGTGCACAATGCAGACCTAAGAATAAACCAAACATATACAGCTCTTCTCAGCCATGTTGCTCTATACGGCGTTTACTTAACCATATCGTCACCACAGGATTATGCAGTGTATCTTGTTTGCATTAATAATCAGCAAGCAATGTATTTAGCCTGTGAAATGGATTACGGAAAGGCTCATCTGGTTCCCCATAGGTCGCGTGTTATATAATTGATGACTTAGTTATGCTGATTCCATATTAAAACCACAGCTGTTGCTAATGTAGAATGTATAGTAAATTGTACTAGAGCAGATATATACTGACATACAGGGTTACTGCAGTAGAACTGAAACATGAAGCTGGTAACTCAGAATTTTCCAGTCGGGCTTCTGTATGTATGCGGTACTTGTTGTTTTCCTTTGCTTTAGGCAAAAATGTGTGCAAGTTTAATTAAGTCTAGAAATGTGTGAGAACGTAATTGATTCTGCATCGAGTGGGTTTTAGACCTGCTAATACAGAAACCTGTCTGACACGGGCCCCTCTGGGAGCATCGCTGGCAACACTGGTTATTTAAGACGCTGAGAAAACAAGACTAACCAGATTACTGCAGGTCTAGTAGTGAGATAGGCAGCTCTTTTCTTTTTTTTACCTCTTCCTGTGGAGTCTCCTTGCATTCATTCATTCTGATTCAGTTTTAGGACATATGACACATAACTTGAGATGTTCTCTGGTCTGGGCTGTTAGAGCACAACGAGGCCATCTTTGTTTTGGAAACAGATTATTTTAGGCGTTATCGCTGTTTAAATGTTCTCAGATTCGTATCAGCCGAGTTCTTCTCATTTTGTACAAGGAGACAACAGAATGTGTGCGAATGAAACATTTGCAAATAAACTGTTTGCAGTGCCGACGCAAGAAAATGAAACGGCTTAAAATGCTGTTTGTTGATTTTGTGGAGGGAAGTAGCGTTAAAAAAACAAGTGATTTGTTGGGTTTAGAAGAACTTTGAAGCAACGTGGACATAGTTGTGTGTTTCTTTTTCCTTAGCCTTGAACAAAATGGTTTTGATTGCATTCACCAGTGATGATAAGTTGGGCCATAGCTTTGAATATGCTTGATGTAGGCAGATGAGCTTAATGTGCAGTGACTGGGTGTATTGCTAAGGCTTGTTTTAGCTCACTAACAATAGAACGCACTTTTCTGCTGCCTTCATTTTGCACACATCACAGTCGAGCATATCTGTCTCGTGATCCCAGCGTTGGTCTGGGGCGACTCTTACTAATGAGAAATGTCTTTCAATTTGTCCCTTTCTGTCTGGCTCTCGATTCAATCTGCTTTTCCCTTTTTGCAGCTTTTAATTTCTTTTTCTTTTCTTTTTTTTTTTGCCACATTGAGGTGTATAGTGCTAACGAACCTCAGCAGCTCTGCTTCCTTTGCTCTTCACCAAGCCTGTCTGTGCTGGATTATCCAGGCTCTGTCAAACACATCCTTTTCCTGTGCTTTGGTGCTTTTTCCTGTTATTGCTGTTCTTGGAAAAACCGTCAGCACTGTCTTATTGGGCAGGGTGATATGGACAAAACATTTCATCTGTAATTCTGTGCGATTGCTTCTCTTAAAAAAACTAAACAAAACTATGGCCCTAAAACCTGAATACTAAACCCGTTACAGATTTACTATCGTGACAGCACAGGTTGCTCCGGAAAAACACACCACTATTAAAAAACTGGAATGTGTACTCATGTTGGTTTTGAAGTCTGCTTAGCTGCTCGTTTGATGAACTACTGTTTGCTCAGTGTTTTGTTTGTAGACATTTCAGCAAACCTGCAGCAAACAGCAGCGAGCAGTCAGATGCTGTCACTTCCAGATAAACCTAATAGCAGATTTCTTCCCTGCACCATCCAGGCCTGGGTCGTGCACATTTCGTGTGGGCAGGACGACTATGTTTAGACATCACCAATTTCGCTACGAACTGTGGGCCAGTCCCTCAGAGAAGTCTGCAGATATGCAGTCTCACAGAAGGAGAACATAATAGCATAGAGAAGTCCACATCAGAGCTCTCTTACACTTGACAGTTTGACAGTGGCACGGCCCAAAGCGCTCACGCATTTAGCAGGAGCATGCCTCAAACTCTGAATCTATTAGTTTGAGGATCGGAGTTGGGCCTTTATCAAAATCAAATCAAGTTTATTGTCATTCTGCTGTACATACACAGTGGTACAGGCAAGATGAGAGAGCGTTTCTTCAGGATCCAATAACTTAAAGCAGTTTAAATAAACAAGTGTTTGCATATCCGGATCAGCAGTTCAGCATTCTGACAGCTTGTGGAATGAAGCTGTTGATCAGTCTGGAGGTTCTTCCTTTAACGCTTCAGAAACGTTTGCCTGATGGAGGCAGTTCAAACAGTTTATGGAGAGGGTTTGAGGAGTCCCTGACAATGTTCAGGGTCCTGCTCCTGGAAAAGTTCCTGGACAGAGGTGAGGGAACCTCCGATGACCCTCTCCTCTAACTGCCCTCTGCAGGGCTTTTCTGTCTGACCCACTGCAGCTGGAGCACCATGTTGAGATGCAGTATGTCCATACGTCTTTCCCCAAGTAACCTGGGCTTTGTGTGACTCTAGAGAAAAGCACCACTAGCAAGACTATTATCCTTTTACATACTGAAAACTACAGGAGCAGCTGTACAGCAATAACAAAATGGTCCAGTTCTATCTGAGGCTGTGTGGTTCAAACTTAGACTTTGTCCGCTGTGTAAATGGGTACCATGTCTGTGCCATTATGAAAAGCCAACGCCAATTTCCTTTCCTGGCACCGGAAAGTGAGGCATCCAACGTTAAATGCTTTTTACCTGTGGTTTTAGAATAGAGATGAGAGCTAGCTTCTGAACCTGAAGGGACACATATTGCTCCTATCCGCTGTGTGTTTTTGTGTCAGGTGCTGAAACAGGTTTTTCACGCTGCCTCTTTTACTTTGAACAGGGTTTTTAAAAATTTATTTTTTACAAACTTTACACAGCACAGTGCTCTGTTTGCTACTGAGGCATCAGTGAAAACACACATCTCAGTTTTGTAATTTAGATGTTTTTCATCTTTATGGAGAAGCAAAAGTTGGAATTAACGTGTATATCTCGAAGCCCTACAGCTTGAATTAGTGCCGTGAGCATTTTCAATGTCTGAACACACTGTGGTGTCTAAAGCTGAGTGCAATACATCTGTTAGAGACAAACTCTTAACAAACAGCAAGCAGGATTTTTTTTCTTTCTCCAGCACCATATAGAAGTTGATGCATGATGATCTTGTGCAACGTCCTTCACACAAGCTGTCAAAGAAACTCCAGTTTCCTTTGATAACCCCTGTGCTGAGTTGCTTTCCATTTGTTTTTCAGAGCTAGATTGTGAAAGCAGCACACTGTCTGTGGCATCATTACAGGCCACTGATCTCTGTGTATGTTTTTTCATCTTCGGGAAACCTCACAGTCAGATTTTTCACTTCCTCTGGCAATTCTTTTTAGTTCATTTCACATTTAGATAGACACAACGTATGGGTCCAAACCTGAGCAGGTTCTGGTGCTGGTGTGCAGGACATTTCATAGCAATGTTCATGCAGTTTGGCTCCTTGGAAATTACAGCTTTGTCTCTAATTTGTATGTTTGTGGTCACATGTTTATTCACTTTTGCTTTGGGGTCAGTATTATCAAATCAGAATCATTTGACATTTAAGTGATTTTACAAGGGGTGTACTCACTCCTGTTGCATACTGTAATAGTAAGAAAGTCAACTTAAAGATTGATCATAAAACACGTGTCTTTAGTTTTTATATCCTCACTGAATTCATGACATTTTTCCAGCGTGACCAAATAAAGACAAACACTCTCCCCTCTGTGAAAATTCAAGGCAGGGCTGTTGGGTACTACAGAGGTTTGTTGTAACAAGAGAAAAGCTTTCTTGTGTACGCCCACTCACATGAGTATTTGGTGCCGGATCAGGTGACGGAACAAGGCAGGGCACAGGGTCTCTGTGGAGGGCTGCTTTACAAAGAGATAAGCCAAAAAAAGTAGTCAAGCACTGGCTAATGCAACGCCGGTTGAAGTGATTCATCACATTTCAGTAACTTTTCAAGCATAAAATTTGCTCTTTTCATTTGTAAGATGTAGTTTTCTCCTTCACCAAGCATCAAGGTAGGAGAGTATTTGACAAACATATATCTGGCAAGCTGCAAGGTGGCTCGGTGGTTAGCACCGTTGGCTCGCAGCAAGAAGCTCGCCGGTTCGCGTCCCTTTCTGTGTGGAGTCTCCGTGTTCTCCCCGTGCAGCGTGGGTTCTCTCCGGGTTCTCCGGCTTCCTCCCACAGTCCAAAAACATGTTGAGGTTAATTGGTGATTCTAAATTGTCTGTACGTGTGAGTGTGCTTGGTTGTCTGTCTCTAAGTGTAGCCCTGTGATAGACTGGTTACCTGTCCAGGTGAACCTGCCTTCACCCGGAGTCACCTGGGATAGACTCCAGCCCCCCATGACCCTAATGAGGATTAAGTGGTGTATAGATGGTGGATGGATGGATATTTGGCAAGCTTACACACAAACTGGCCTGTATGTTCAGGAAGCACTGAAATGGGGAAGCGCTAGCCCGATGGTTGAGGCATTTATCGCATACAGTAACCACAGTGTCTATGGTTTAACTACCAGGACTATACCCTTCTTTTTCTGCTTGTGTCCTCTCTCTGTCTACTGTTGAAAGTAAAAATTCCCCCAAAAACTTTTCAAAGAAAGCAGTAACATTACTGCTGGGAACAAACACGACAGCTCCGCGATATTCAAACATAATCAAATGTTTCACAGCTAATTCAAATCATGCAGCGTTTACTTTAGCGGTGCAGGTTCAGTTATGGCTCAGGACAAAAGTTCATACGTCAGCTGAGAAGATCACCGGAGCCCCGCTGCCCTCCATCCAGGAACTGTACTCCAGTAGAACCAGGAAGAGGGCAGGTCATCGCAGACCTCACTCATCCTGCTCATAAACTGTTCTCCTTCCTCCCCTCCGGCAGGCGATACAGAGTCCTGCATACTAAAACTACCAGACATAAAAACAGCTTTTATCCCACTGCTGTAACTGTACTGAACAGCTGAGCCATTCTGCAGACTACTGACATTGTTATTTGCACTGCTACTTTGTGCACTACCTTACATATATTTTTTTCTGCTAGATGTGTATATTCTTGTATATATTTATTTCATTTTTATTTTTTTTTCTTTCTATGGTTATTTTATATCATTGTTATTCTTTTCCTTGCTCATTCCTGAGGCGACACCAACAGCCGGAACCAAATTCCTTGTGTGTTGTGTACACACTTGGCCATTAGAGCTGATTCTGATTCTGATATCAATTAGTCTGACTTCTCAGGTAGTTATAAGGATGTGCTAGTGTTAAAACATTCTCTTCTTGAAAACAGAAAGCTTCTCAGTTTGTCGGTCTCTAACAGAGAGCACATCCATCATCAGTTTCTCTCTTGACGGTATAAGTGAACGAAGTGATGTTTCAGAACAAATGTGGCTTTAAAAATCTGCTGACTGTGTGTCGATCTTTATCTTTGTGTGTTATGTGGTTGTACGGTGGTTTTCGTTATAGCTCACATTGTGACCAAACTACCTTCATTTTCTATTGCTGCTTCATCCCATAGAGGTACTTATATGCGCTATACATCATGTAGATATCACCCTCTTTGTCGGGATGCCATCTCGTAGACATGGCTGGAGGGAACTCCCTTTCTCTGTGCTGCTCTGCTTCCTGAGCAGCGTGTGATTGTCAGGTGCTTGACTCAGTATGTTCAGCATTTGGGCTACGCATTAATAATTTATCAGTCAGCTGCTTCCGTGAGACGAGCAGCGCCGTCTTGATCCTCAGCCTGCGCTCTACCTGTCTGTTTTGCCTGCAAGTTTTTGGTCTGGCACGTTTACAGTTCAGCGGGTAAAAACTTGCGCCGAGCGGGTGAGTAAAGCGTGGCGTCAAAATCATAAATGGCAATTAAAGCTGCATTGTGGAACTTCAGTTTTCCTCCTTGGTGCAGCGACAGTAATCACACCAACATTCTTACAGCGTATACCTGCAATTATTGTTGTTGTCACTGATTGCTTTCTTTTCTTCACCCTTCCTCTGAATGTTTCTGTTTGTCTGGAGCATCAGCTTCTCCCGACATACGCTCTGCATACCACTGTTACTCCATCTTCCTCTTTCGAACTGGCAAACCAATCATTGCTGATTAACGAATCTTATCACCGCTCGAGTGTCACCGTTGTAAAACAGCTTCAGTTGTGAAATCGGAGGTTTATTTATTTATATGTTAATCATCTACTCATGATGAATTGTTTAGATATTTTCTGGTTTTCTGAGGGGGAAGGAAATGCATGTATTTGCAGACTAAAGCTGCTTTCAGTATTGTGATGTGCATGCAGTAAATCGGGGGTTAAAGTATGAGGAAAGTGGTACCGGTTTGTAAAGCTCCGTTATGAAATTATGGAACGTAGAGATTAAACTCGTCAGACATTTGAAACAAGCCAGCGACAACAGAAATTTTCCTTCACTCAATACCATAAATCCTGGTCCTGGAGGGCCACAGTCCTGCATGTTTCAGATGTTTCCCAAATGATCAGCTCATCATCAAGCTCTGCAGAAGCCTGATGATGATCCTGGTCATTTAAATCAGGTGTTATGGAAGAGGAAAACATCTAAAACATGCAGGATTGTGGCCCTCGAGGACCAGGATTGGACACCCCTCTATAAATACATCCACTCTTCTACTCTCTTGAAACGCTTCTACCTTTGTTGCAGTAGATTTAAATTGCTGACAACCTCCAAGTGCTTTTGTGTATTTTTAAAGTTTTTAGTAGATTTTTCCACGACACCACAGGCACCAAGATTTAAAACATCACACTGTGACGTACAGCTAGATTTATACGGCGCCGATAGGCTTAATCAGCACTGTGTGAACTCGTTTGGCAGCGGTATGGATGTAATCGATGTTCGTTTATGTGTAAAAGTCCTCTAGCTTTGAATCAAGCGGAAACCAGAGCTTTCAAAGCACTGGCAGTGTAATGATATAAGAGCAAGTGAAACCCAAAACTGCATGTTTGTGTGTCAGGGGTGCTGTCTGTGGTTTGGTTCAGTCAGACAGGACAGGTTTCCGGCCTTCATGTCTGTGTTCACAACAAAGGTGCTCATTCTCATTGGACTGGGGTCGAGGAATTGTGATTTATGGTGGAGAACAGGTCCAGTGTTCAGGATGGAATCATGATTTAGGTTCTCTGCCTTTTGTTGGGTGTTTGTTCAGTGGCCTCATATACAGGAGCAACCACATGTCAGTTGCTGTGAGGTTTTAGCAGATGAAGAGATGAGTGATCAAGTACATCGAAAGCTGTGGAGTGCGGTTTTAAAGCAACGGTTCTGCTTGCTTTGTGGAAAGCGCTTTTCGCTGAGTGATGCTTGTCTATCAGAAGTTAAAAAGGCCTTCGTGAACAGTGCATCAGTCTGCAGCAATCAACATTTTAAATGCTCTTCAAATCCCAATAATGCAGATTAAATTTCTAACTGAATCATCTACTTGTGGATTCATCTGGGGCCGTGGTGGTGTCATGGGTTGACTGAACCTTTGTTGGAACAGAGATAAGGCTGAACTGTAATGATTGTGCCAGGACTAATAACAAGCAAAGGAATTTATACTATGTCTGCTGCTAGATGATCTCTGTCACATCGCTGACTTCAAACAACTCGTCATATCGCAGTCTGTCATCTGTATGTTCAGCCGCACTCCTGTTTCGTTTTGTTAAGATTCTTTTTTCTCAGTTTTTCGTTCTCTGTTACACTTGTGGCATCAATTGGAGTGAAAATCTGAAAAGAAATCCTAGATCTGATCACTTTGTTTGACACTGGAAATC